CTCACCCGCTACCCAAGGGAGGCGGTGGCCCTGGCAGAGAGCACACTCTTCGGGGCTCCGAACATTTCAAACGGATAGGCTACCACACACACACACACACACAACAACAAAACAAACAACCCCAGAAGACACATGAAAAACAGTAAGTTCGGAAAGTACACTGTCTCACCACCTCTATGGAAAACGTAGTCTAGCATCGTAAATGTCCCTTGATGAGGTTAAAATCCCCTTTTAAAATGCAAGGGTTTGTTTCAGAGGTCAGACTCCAGCTAACAACGTTACCCCCCTCCCCCCTCCCCCATTTGCACCCGCTCCCTCAGCATCTGGGCTATTGGACGTACAAATTAAAAACCACCCAAAACCATCAACATTTGTAAATCAGAATGTCTAGATTCGAACCACAGCCAACCTTGTCTCAGAATGTCTAGATTCGAACCACAGCCAACCTTTTCTAAGGTCAGTATGACAACACCCAATGTTCGTTCCGCGCGAGAATTCTACAGCCAGCCATACCACTAACAAATGTCAAAATTTATTAAACTAATCTGATTAGTTGTCACTTACTTCAGTTTAAAACTCGACAGAGCCAACTAATAGTGCCTTCTTAAAAACCACTTCTTCTTTTTTTCTCTCCAAAAGTTGAAAGATAGACCCACAGATTTAGACAGACAAACAGACGGAAAGGTTAGCTAGTAATGGATAGGTCTGGACCGAGTTTATCAGAACGTCTCGGTTTGGGGGGATAAAACGATTTGCAGCAAATGAGATGCATGTATACCAAGCATGTACTTGTGGCATAGTCCACGTGAGACCTGAACAGCGAATTCTCAGTAAAAGAAATGGCTCAACAGATATACCTCATAATATGAGCTATCTTAGAAACATTCATGGAAAATGATGATCAGACACGATTGCAAAGATAGATTCTGGAAAGATCATATGCTTCCATAGTATTTTCGCTGCTCTTCCAACGCATACGCAAATAGCAGACGGCTTGGACACCCATTGACATAAGAAAGATGGGAGAATACCGCACGATCTCCTTTGTCAAGAATTAGCTGTTGTGAGGACGGGAAAGTGTTTACCTTTACAAAGACAGACAGATGTCTGAACGAAGGACCGAAATAATACCTAGGAGTTTCTTTGAGTAAAGAAAAACACATCAACTCGGTCATACGGTACTAGAAATAAAACAACAAGACTGATAGAAGCAATAGATGCAGAGTAAATAAATAAGACCTACCAGTACCAGTGGCACCCTGTAATCGCCCGCTCAGAACTCATGAACATGCAGCAGCAGAATGCAGCCAGTGGACGAGGGTAGGCCTACTAAACACCGGTCTCAAAATAAAGAGAAAAACTCAAAGACGAAGAATCATCCAATAATATCTGAAGAAGAAACAAAGAACAGCACAACAGAATAGGCCTACTGAAGAAAATAGAATTTCCTTGCACTTGTCACAACCAGCGTGTTTAAAAAAAATTAAAAAGCCCCCCAAAATGGCCAGTGCAGCAATTTGCACCACCATCCCAGCACATAGGCTATTACAGCGCAAAAGTGCCATCTGCTTTACGAAGCAAGCAAATCAACTTGCACATTGAGCGGTTGTTGTAGCAGGGTCGACAGCATACTTTGAATAATATTACAGCCAGCACTTATTTCTCGGTTACACTTCCCCACTATACTCCAACTACCCACAGCAGGTCTTCTCAGTATTCAATAAATCGACCATTGTCCCACTGTAATGGCGTTATCCTAGACGGTCATATAATCGCCTAGGCTAACTGCTGTCCATTTAGAGCCGATCGGAGAGCTTCCCCTGTGATGCCCTATATGATGAAAGGTTTCACACTAAAGGCTGGTGGAGCTGCAAGTAGGTTATACGCCACTAGAAATTTTGAAAACTAAAGAGGGGGAGTGGGTGAGAAAAGAACGGGCAGTAACGGATAAGTAACATAGTGTGCGTGTTATGCGTCTAATATAAAGAAAAAAATAGCTCCACAAGTATGTGAATGCGTTTCATGTGTGTGTGTGTGTGTGTGTGTGTGTGTGTGTGTGTGTGTGTGTGTGTGTGTGTGTGTGTTTT